AAAATATTTACGTTTATAATTTTTTTCTCTTGGTATAATTGTTAAGAGAAAAGGAAAATAAAAAGTTTGTACTTTTAAGTGATTTTCTTGACCATTTTAAAAACATGTAATATTTATAATACATACCCAGTATTGATCATATTGCTAGTAGATTAAAAAACTGTCATAAACTATAAAAACAACTATTTAATTCTTTGACTACTTATTTAAGCCAAAGCAATAATAGTTAAACAAAATGTACTCAAAAAAAAAGATAATATCACTTTGAATGATAAAGTCAATGAACATCAACAGTTCAATGTCCAATTTGCGAATTGTATTAATTATTTTTACACTAAGAATTCTACCTTTGACAACATGGCGAAAATTTACGTGGAATAATGAATAACAGTAAAATTAATATCTTAATTTAATTCGTGTAAATTTAATTTTTACTTTAATTTTTAAATGTCGAAAGTAGGATAAAAATTAAAAAATTTCTTAAACGAAATTATATATATGTACAAGTATGTTTAAATAAAGTGTAAAGAAATATATTCATTAAAGTTTTAATGTAGTAAATTACATATTCTATAATTTCGTTGCCATCGCTCACAATTTCAGTCAATGGTAGTAATAAGAAATCTAAAGAATATATTACATATACACGAGAAAATGAAATTTTATAAGATTTCATTATATTGATTGAATAGTTAGTTATACACGCGCTGAATTAAGTACTTTATTTGTAAAATATTTGTGAATCAGGGTTATGTTTGTACCGGTACAACAATGTGTGGGATATTCTGTCACATTTCACAAAACCATGAAAATAATAAGGAAACTTCACAGGAGGTATTATTATTTTAAATATATGGAAAGGAAATTTAAACTAGTAAATTATAGAAAGATCTAACATTATTTTCTCAGTGGAATGTTTGCAAGAATTTAATAGCTGCTCGTGGTCCTGATAAGGTAGAAGAAAAATTTGAAAATTTAACTCAGAATTGGTTTGGACACTTTGTTGGTTCTGTATTATGGATGCAAGGTTCCAATTTAACAGAACAACCTGCTTTAGATTCTACTGGTAATATTCTCCTTTGGAATGGAGATATATTTTTAGGAAATTTGGTAAATATTTTATATTATGCTGAGTATATTAAGTGCATTACAATTTTTTATGTATCGTAATGTTATGAAATGGTCATGTTACTTGTTTTAGGCTCGTGATAATATATGTGACACTGATGTTTTATTAAATGCTTTGGAATCATCATCAAATGTTATACCAGTATTTCAAGAGATACAAGGCCCATATAGTTTTGTATATTTTCAAAAATCCACTAATATTTTGTATTTTGGCAGAGATATTATAGGAAGACATAGTTTACTTTTAAAAGTGAGCAATGACCAAGATGTTTTAACTTTAACATCAGTTGCCACTAAAGAAATAAACAGAATTATAGAAGTTCCAGCAATTGGAATTTTTGCTGTGAACTTAGCTAATTCAAGAATAAATCTTGCATGCCACCCATGGAGAGAGCCAGACTTGAGATTTACAGATATTATTGAAGCAGTGGAGACACAGTTGGGTGTAGATATTGACATTAAAGATACTATATTAGAATCAGACACATCAACATGTCTCCATCTGCATCCAAATATTAAAGATTTGGAATATTTAGAGAATAGCCCTTATTTTGAGGATTGCCATAGAACATTGGAATATTTGTTAGAAAATGAAGACATACAGGAAAGAGTAGATCATTTATTACAGCTTCTTTACAAAGCTGTAGAAGTTAGAATAAAGAAGCAGCCAAAATTTTGTAAATCATGTATTAAATTGGTATTAAATGGAGAAAATATTGTATGCAATCATGCAAAAATAGGAATATTATTTTCTGGTGGTTTGGACTCTGCTATTTTAACACTAATTGCTGATAAATATATACCACAACATGAACCTATTGATTTATTCAATGTTTCATTTGAAAAATCAATTAACACGTCTAAAAGGCCTAATACAAATAATGGAAAACAAGGTATAGAGGACAGATATGATGTTCCTGATAGAAAAACTGGAAAGCAAACGTTTATGGAACTTTCGAATATTTGCCCAAATCGTAAATGGAATTTTATAGAAGTATATAAATTTAAATATTTTTATACAATTTGCATATATAAGAAACGTTTTAATAATATGTAATTATTTCAGGTAAACGTCAGTCAAATAGAACTACAAACATATCGTTCCTCGCGAATTAGTAATTTACTATATCCACTTTGTACTATATTAGACGAAAGCTTAGGTTGTGCTGTGTGGTTTGCAAGTCGTGCAAAAGGTATAATCAATTCAAGTACTAATATTTATGAATCCCCATGTAGAGTACTTCTCTTAGGCATGGGAGCAGATGAATTATTTGGTGGATATATGAGACACAGGACAATATTAAGACATAAAGGTTGGGATGCTTTGACACAAGAATTAAATATTGAATTATCTAGAATCTCTGAAAGAAATTTAGGTCGAGATGATCGTATTGTATCTGATCATGGAAGGCAATCTAGACTGCCATATTTGGATGAGAACATAGTAGAATATGTTCAGAAGTTGAAACCATGGGAAAGGTAAATCGAGTAATAGAAAATGAATAAAATAAAACAAAAAATCAATATTATCCAACTATTTGTAGGTGTTATCCAACAGATAAAATGCCATCAGGTTTAGGAGATAAATTACTTTTACGTTTGGTGGCATGTAAACTTGGTTTCCAACACACTGCCAATTTTCCTAAACGAGCCTTTCAGTTTGGATCTCGAATTGCTAATGGTAAAGAGAATGCTAAAGATATATCGGATCGTTTGTGAAAAAAATGGTATGCGTGTTTCTTTTTAGGCGTTAACAAATTTAAATAGTTAAATACAAAATTATTTATTCCATATGTTTCAGACCTTTTTTTAATATGAAACAAGTTTTGAAATTGTCATGTATATGTATTTATAGAGCTTTTATATTTTGAAATTATTAAAATAATAATGCTTGTATATAATTACATTCAATAAATCGTGCATGTAAAAATTGTTTGTAATTGAAATGGGCATTGAGAGGTTTCTAACATGCAATGCAAAATTAGTGCCTCAAGTGAAAAAAATTTAATGACTTGTTTCTAAACATGTGTATGATAGTTCTGAAAAGTTTCAAGAACAGAACTATACAAGTATAAAAGACCAAAAAGAATAAAGCTATAATGTTTCAATGTTTCATTTGCTTACTGAATCAGTCAATTATATCTTTTTGAATTTATTACAATCTACCTCAAAAGTATGCCTACTTCTTGCAAGCTGTGATATCATGTATATGTTGCAGCTCTTGTATATTTTTTACTTGAATTTAGTGTGTGTTTGTCTTTTGCAAATATATTATTCTTAACGAAAATGTAAACAAATTTTTTTACAATATGTGAAAATAAAATAAAACATTTTAATAAAAAATTTTGCTTTATTTATTT